TCCCTCCTCGCAACATCCCTCCTCGCTCCATCCCTCCACCCTCCAACATATCCATCCAGCCATCCATCTCTACCTCTGCCTCTACTTCTTCGCTTTCTCCCTCTATCCTTCCCCTGCCTGCCTTCTAGTCTGCCTGCATCGCTCGCTCTTCCTGCCTCCCTCCTCGTCCTCGCGTGATTTACATCATCATTGTCAAGATGCATGAATGTCACAACAAGGTAACAGGAGGACAAGGGCTGATGAGTTCACTCGCGTATGAGCCCACTAGATGTATTCCTGAGTCTAAGTGTTGAGTCCCTTGCAGTCTTGGTTGCTTTAGATGTAGTAGACGACAGCCTCGACATATTGTCCACTCGCACTCAGTAAGATTTCTTCTTGCCGAGGCTCCTGTCCCATGAGCTTTGAGGGCCCTGGCACCTGAACCACCCGCTGGAGGCGGCGACGGAGTGCTGGTGAATCTTCTGTGGAGGGTCTTTAATGTGTGAAATGAAAAGGTTGAATGTGTACATGTGCTGCTGCGGGGAACTTGATGCGGGGTGAAGGAGTGCAGGGGCGGGGGGGAGAGGAAGGCAGGGTCGGGAGAGGAGGCGGATGGTGGGAGGTCGCGAGAGATTTAAGCTACAAGTCAAGAACCATTGAAACCCTCCCCTAGAGCGCCTCGTCATCGAGTCTGCTCCCTCGCCGCCTCGCTCCGAGACCACAAGTGCTTGACGGTGACCTGCTTGCCCTGGTGAAACGTCAGAGACGCAAAGCTAAGAGGAGAGCTGGTCTGACCTGCGCTATGTCTTCCAGCGTCAGGAGCTCCAGGGGTGTGTTGGTGGCCGATGAATCGCTGACGTCAGCTTGCGCCTGGTGCTCTTCAGACGTGGGGAAGAGGACTGGAGGCCTCTTCTGCTGCTGCGCTGCTTCCCTTCGCGTCCACTTCCTCCTCAAGCTCGCCACTTTTGTGCGCCTGGCGTGACGTCATACCTCCTCTGCCTCTGGCACAAGCACCAGCCCCACCTGTGCAGCAGGCCGTACTCCCTCATCAGGTCCACCCATCTCGTGCTGGTTCCTGTCTCGTCTCCTCCGTCCTCCCTACCATCGTGAGTCTCCATCGAGTCCCTCGCGCTCCCCTCCTGCACGGGCAAGCCAGCGCTCTGACCGTGTTGCCCTGCTGTGCCGAGCCACCGCACGAGGCTCGTCTGCTCGCCTGCAGCCTGTGGGGGGTCAGTCGGAGGTCTCCTGAACTCTTGCCCTGTCACCTCAGCCGTGGAGTTCTGACTCCTTGCCGTCGCCCTTGCCCTCCCATCCTCCACTCTGGTCGGGCCTGCCAACGGTCTCTCCGCTCTCTGGGGCACTGACGGCTCCGGAAGCTTCTGCCATGGCTGGACCCCCGGCGCTGCTCCTGCTTGTCTGAACTCTTTCAGATCCCTCGCGTCTCCCACCCTTGAGCGCTGGAAGAGCTTCAGTCACAGGCAACAAACAGCCGCGCAAGCGTCCCTTCCTCCTCACCGTCTCGCATCTGTGCTGCTCCGCGTTGGCATGGAACCTCTGCTCCATGGACTGTGCTCTAAGGCTCCACTGCACAGGACTTGAGTACACGAGGAGGAGGAGCGGAGCTCGAGCACTGCTCAGCAGGTCTACCTCCGTGTGTCGTCGTGCGAACTGAGTTGCGATGAGATCGACTTCCATCTCCACGAAGCAGCTTCTGATCCCCTTGAGAACCTCTTGGCTCGACAGGTTCAACCCTTGACCGAGCTGAGTACCGTCCATGTACTGCACCGGCCGCCGCTCGTACGCTGCCCACAGACCAAGGAAATGCTGCTCCTTCCCATGGCTGTTGCATCGAGCGTTGAAAATGGCGTTCTGTACTGAGGTCAGAGGCAGGAGGGGAGGGAAGAAGGGACGATAGACCTGCAAGGCTTCCCGCTGGCAGGACGAAGGTGCAGAGAGGATCGAAGTCCAGCAGGCACAGTCGTCGAGGAGGGGCCGATGGGCAGAGGAGAAGCTGTGGGGAAGGAGACGGACTGTGTCGTACCCTTGCCGGGTGAGCCAGACCACGGCAGCAGGAGAGTGGCTGGTTACGAAGACGCGGAGGGCGTCGAAACCGAGGGAGCGAGCGTAAGCCTCGAGCTGCCGGAGCGAGTGGTAAGCAATGGTCCTTGCGTAGAGCTGCGAACATGCCTTGGAGTGTCTGCAAGAAGTAGGTTATTCTGGCAAGAGGAGGAGGGAGGTCACTTGGGATGGAAGTCGTTCCGAGCTGACATGAGCTCAACTAGCGCGAGTTTCTTGCCTGCCGGGAGGAGGAAGACGGGAGACAGGAAGGGAGAGGGACGAGGAGGAGGGAGGAGAGAAGAGAAATTCAGACAGAACAAGAGAAACTCTTGACACTCGCCTTCTACAAGAAAGTCGGGAAAGCGAAGGAAAGCACAGAAGTTCCAGTCCTTCGAGCTGATCTCCTCTGTTCCGCTGCCCGAGCTCGAGCCGCAGTAACGCTGAGGGCTCACAAGGGTGGACAGCAAGATAAACGCCCCGTCCTTGAGCCGCATGCGCTCAGTGATGTGAGGAGCGGAGATGGAGCAAGGGAAGGTCGGGCTGGAGGCTGTGAAGACTGTAGAGGTTCCAGGGAAGAATCGCCATGGCTCCTGGCAAGGTACCGAGCGTCATGATAATGTTGAGAACAGGGATGGTTTTGAGAACAGTGATCATGTTCAGAGAAACATGTCGTTTAGAGAAACATGCTGAGAGAAACATGTCTTCGCCTGTCTTGATCGGCACCCTTACCTTCTCGTTGAGTTCGAAGTGCTCGATGATGCTGTTGACGTCGTCAAGTGTCGCGTTGCGGCACTGAAAGCATCGGAACTCCCTCACTACCCCAGTGGGAAACTCTCGCCCCCTGCAACAGGCGATCTTGCTCGCCGAGCCAGCGAAGAAGGGAGGGCGGTCGCCTTGGACTTCGCTCATGCAATCTACCGCTTGACACTCCCCTGCGATGAACAAGTCAGACGAACGAGCACACACGAGAGGAGACAGAAACTGAGACTGACATTGACACTGAGATGGAGATGGAGATGGAGATGGAGATGGAGATGGAGATGGAGATGGAGATGGAGATGGAGATGGAGATAGAGGAACAGCAACATTGAGATTGAGACGGAGGGCTTAGCGTGAGACTGAGGCCGAGACAAGGGCTTAGAGAGGGATAGAGGGCGGGAGCAGTCGGAGCAAGATGCTAAGGCAATTGTCTTCACCTTGGGAGAGATGCTCATGGTTTGGCGCCTGCAAACGAGAATGACTGGAGGGCAACGGCAACGATGACTACTACCTCAAGCAGCGAGATCGATGGAACTGCGGGACGACGAGCAGGAGCGGGAGGAGCAGAGGGAGGAGCAGAAGGAGGAGCAGAGGGAGGAGCGGGAGGAGCAGAGGGAGGAGCGGGAGTAGCAGGAGAGTATCCTCCTCGCAGTGGCTGATGGATCTTGTCAATGCCTCTCCTATTCCCCTCAAGTTCCCACCTGTACCCCGAGCATGGAAGGGGCGTTGGAAGGTGATGGGGACGACGCACGAGCTGTGTTGGAGGGGGAGTAGAGGCGAGGAGGAGAGCGAGTAGGAGTAGAGTCTGTGTGCCGCTGCTGGTGCATCCACAAAGAGAAGTACTTGCCGCGCTAAAGTGATGAAGGAGGAGGAGGAGGAGGAGGAGGAGGAGGAGGAGGAGGAGGAGGGTACAACATGAAGATGAGGAGGATGTAAAGACGGAGAAAGCAGGAGGTGTAAGTAGCCAGGAGGTGGAGACCGGACGGACAAGTTGCCACGAAGAGAAGATCAAGAGGACAGGGAAAACAAGAACGAGCAAGGAGAGCGCAGACGTGTCAAATTCAGCCAAGGCAAGAGTTGCAAAGAATGCAAAGAATGAAGATGAACGAATGAAGGAGCCGTGTATCGTTGAACAGCCAAGAGGAGGAGGAGCAGGAGCAGCAGGAGCAGCAGGAGCAGCAGGAGCAGGAGACGACATGAGGGATGAGAACGTGAGGGGCGGATGGAGAGGAGGGGGGCGGAGGAGGAGGGAGAGGAGGGAGAGGAGGAGGCAGGATACAGGAGCAACCTTTTCGATAAGCTCCTCGTGTGTTCCTTCCTCGCAGACGCTCCCGTCCGACAATACGACGATGCGGTCGGCGTCTGAGACCGCGTTCAACCGATGGGAGATGAAAATTGTCGTCCTGCCCTTGCAGGCGTCTTGGAGAGCCTCCTGCACCTGCGCGCGGGGATGGTGAGAAGGTTCTGAAGTGAGCATAGCAGGGAGGAGGCAAAGTCGAGGAGGAGGAGGAGGAGGAGGAGGAGGAGGAGGAGGAGGAGGAGGAGGAGGAGGAGGAGGCTCAACATTAGAACAGAAACACAATGTTGTTCATCGACCCATGGAGCACAGGCAACTGCAAGTGAGGCAGTAGCACAAGGCATTGTTGTGATGTCAAGAAACAGGTTGTCTTATCAATCTCATCAGGTCAGAGCTGATTCAGTCTCGCTCATCTCACATGCACTTCTGTCGTCGTGTCAAGCGCGGAAGTCGCCTCGTCCAACAACAGGATCGGCGATGCGCGCAGGAGCACACGAGCAAGGGCAACCCGCTGACGCTCTCCCCCGCTCAGCCTCAGCCCTCGTTCTCCCAGCTAGAGGCGCGACATGGGAGGAGGGGAGGAGGGAGGAATTTAAGGATTGAAGAGAAGATAGAGATCAGACAGTGAGGAGGGAGA